TCCTCGTGTTCTCGTATAACGTCATCATCAGCTGCCTAAGATCAATTCCAATACTCAAGACGGAAAGTACGGAGGACGCATGAAACTTCCCGGATGTGATCTTGATATCGAAGACGCAACGATGCAGACTTGAGCACCGAACTCGCTCTGGAAGTCCCAGAAGCCATTGCGACTGGAGGTGGGAAGCGCAGCATTTTATTTAGATTTATTATTACGGTTCAGAGATATGGCTTATTTACCTCAGGAGTTTCACTAAATGAAATGGTGAATATAAACATGACCATGGACATCTTAATAAAGGAATAAACACATTAAGGGTGTTTGTTTGCTTAAATTCGTATTAAAGTCTGTTTTATTTATATTGTGCAACGTAGATTTATAATGTTTCTATGCAAAGTATATATTTTGAAAAGGGGAAAAACAATAAATCGTTGTATGAAGGCTGTAATGTTTAAATAATTTACCATTTAAAACACGTGAAGGTCACGTGACCATCAGGAAGAACGCAGCATCTCAATTCTCAAAGGACGCGTTCTCGCCCTCGCGGTCTCCTGAGTTCGTTCTTCCGAGGACACCTGGCAAGACCGCTCTCCACAAGAACGCAAGTCCGTTCTCTTCGTTCTTAAAATTGAAAAACAGCGATAGCCTAGTAGCGCATAGTAAACTATCTGCATCTCCCGTTTTCAAAATAAAAGTCCCACATACATAGTAAGTTTGATATATGCTTGGATAAACTTAAACATAAATAAGAGAGGAAAATGATGGTCACATGGAATTGTTGTGACTTATCAAAAACAAACTGAGATGTGAATATTAATGATCTCAAAGCAACATATCAGTCTGTGTTATGGCAGCTGATCTTCTGATGACGTGGCTGGAAGTACGTGCAAATCTGTCCTGCAGACAAATCTGTGAGTCACGCAACAGTCTGCTTTGTGTTCTGACAGGCTTATTATTCACTAGGTATTTACACTCATGGAAATCACACAACAAGTAAACAATGGTGTGTGATGCTCACTGTATGCACATTTTCATACACTGATCTCTTATTATTTGACTATGGCTAGGTATACACAGATATTATTTATTATCCTGAAGTATTTCTAAGTGAACGGTTCTGCTTATTACAAGGGAAACAAGATATTTTATGAACAATGTGTGTCATGCTATGAGATGTGTTGTGAGAGTATAAAGAAGTTAATATGATTGTGGCTTTACAGACTTGATAAGCAGCACTATAAAGGCCATCATCATATATATTTTTTATTTATCCACAAAGAACTTCAATATCGTTTTGTAAAAACAACATAAATGGATGTTCATGGACATCCGACTGTAAAGTGGTCGGCTCAATGCCATCTCCAATGGATGCACTCACAAAAAGAACAGGCCGTGAAATAAATTAATCACTGCTTTTAATGCCGTGTTTACGAGGGAATAACAATGCACAGTTTGTGATCAGATCAAATCAAATAAGTTACTTGGTCATTGTGGAAACACAACTTACTAACAACTTCATTTACAAACATAAAACTACTCACGCATGCTGTAATTCCATTAGGAGTGAAGGATGATATATATTAGGAAGTGTGTAAATGTGTGTGTACACTGGTGAAACTCTATTTGTTGTATTTCATACATGCAAGTCACTTCAGATAAATGAAACATTCCTTCATTTTCCTTCCGCTTAGTCCCTTATTTATCAGGGGTCACCACAGCGGAATGAACCGCCATTTTATCCAGCATATGTTTTACGCATTGGATGTCCTTTCAGCTGCAACCCACTACTGGGAAACACCCATACACACTCACATTAACACACACAAATACACTACGGCCAATTTAGTTTGTCGATTCCCCTATAGCGCATGTGTTTGGACTGTGAGGGAAACCGGAGCACCCACACTAACACAAGGAGAACATGCAAACTCCACACAGAAACGCCAACTGACCCAGCCGGGACTCAAACCAGCGACCTTCTTGCTGTGAGGCCACAATGCTAACCACTGAGCCACTGTGCCACACCCTGGTAGTTATTTTCTTCTCTTTTTACTTC